TAAACTTCTAGTATTTATAGTGTAATGAAGCAATCAAATCCTCTTCTTTATCTTCCCTCATTAAAATTACGGTCCTTATCAATAACAACAAATCCATATTTATCAGATTTCCAACATTCTGAACATAAATCGCGAAATTGAGTATAACTCATATCAGTATTAACATGATCTTCATAAACATGTTTCAGATTCTTTTCATCTTGTCTGAATAGAACCAATAAATTTACATTATCTCGAACTAGATGTTTTGGAATACGAGCGTACGTTTGACACAAATAGAAACTGTCAACGTTTACATGTCTACCCATACAAAAGAAAGCTCTAACATTACACAGCCCCACAAAAAAAAGTGTCGTGCGCGGCAGACCAGACTAGTCATTTCCTATGTATTTTGACGCGCTGAACACGAATCCAAAGTCTGTTTTGCTTCATCACGTCAGGATTTTTTTCTAACCTCAAAAAATCTGTCGGATTTTGAGAGGTAGGCTATTTTTTCTTAAATTAATGGATTTACTTCAAACTTGGTAACTAGGGGTTTTTTGGTTTGCTGATGACAAATTTGAAGTTAGATTTTCAAAATTCAAAATGGCGGCTCCAATATGGCGGACGAATTTTTTAAAAGTTAATGGATTTACTTCAAACTTGGTAACTAGGGGTTTTTTGGGTCGCTGATGACGAATTTGAAGTTAGATTTTCAAAATTCAAAATGGCAGATCCAATATGGCGGACGAATTTTTTAAAAATTGATAGATTTGCTTCAAACTTGGTATCTAGGGGTTTTTTGGGTCGCTGATTACGAATCTGAAGTTAGATTTTCAAAATTTAAAATGTTGGCTCCAATATGGGGGACGAATTTTTTAACTATTGATGGATTTACTTCGATGTTAGTATCTAGGGGTTTTTTGGGTCACTGATTACGAATCTATAGTCAGACTTTCACATTTTGAACCCCCTGCACGAAAAAAATGTCCGTGCACCGCTTGTCTCACTTCCAGTGCAGTTGATGCAGAGGTTGTCCGATGGAAGTGCGTTTGCTGTCTCTAAAAAGGGCCGTATATGATCCCTTTTCAAAGTGTAAGATTTGTACTGTAATTAAGGACCATTGGTGCACATATAGAGATAAACAGTGCACAGAAATTTTTTCCGTGTGGCTGCTCCGAAAGATTTTTTGGTAGAGTGTTGTGTAGCGGGAACTGTAATTTTTTGTTTTGTAATGAACTACTCTTAAGAACTGACAGTTGGGTCTCATTGCATCATAGAGATCAATTCGGCAAATGCACAAAACTTTTTTCATTGAGGTAATAATGTGACAATAAGATCTAAAAGTTAAATAATAAATTTTTAAGCAACGAGATAAAAAGGAACTTTAATAACCTCTATCCTTCACTATCTTATTCCTTAAAAATACATTGTTTACCTTGTACGCTTTGCACTTTTATTGTGTTTCAGCACAATACTAATCCTGCTGCTTCGATAAATGTAGTAGGCGATGACAACTGCCCCGAAAGGGGATGTGTAGAATGATTCGCTTCCTGTTTATCGAAGTAACGAAGCCAGCGTAGGCGCGCTGCCCTGTAGGGGGACGTTAGGGTGTGAGGATGATGCCGTAGTGTGTCCGACGACGAGTTGACTTTGTCCTCGTCAAAGTCGGAAAGCTCTCATACTTAGGCCTGGGGAGGTATGAGGGTTATCACCCCTAGGACGGCGGACTCACCTGCGATCGGGCCAGAATCCCTAACGTGCAGGTTTTCACATAAATCATGGCTTCTCAAAATCAAAACAATAATAAAACTCCAAAGGCTTCAAAACTTAATTTTGCAGTAACAACGTCGGAACACTTATGCGACAGCAATGCAGATGCATTTTGTTACATATGTGGACAATTCGATGTCCCCAAAAATCGTAAATCAATAAATGAAAATATCAAACAGATCTACAAAGATTATTTTGATCTTGAGATAACCAATCAGGATAAAAATTTTGTTCCACACAAAATTTGCAGTTCCTATTACACAATGTTAACTCGTTGGAATCATAAAAAAGAGGATAAACTAAAGTTTATAAAGCCAACTTTGTGGGAAAAACCATTAAATCAAAAAGATTGTTATTTTTGCAACACCAATGTGCAAGGATATAATAACAAAAATAAAAAGAACATATTGTATGCTAATGTCCCCACTGTAAAAAAACCAGAAATTTCATTCAATCCACCTTCTTCTCCCAAAACCTTGGAAATTGACAGTTCAACTGAAGATGTTCTAGATTTTGAAAATAAAGACATGAGAACCGATGATGAGGACGACTATTACCTTCCGTATGATGAACAGGAGATAAAGATTCGACAAACGTTTAACCAAGAAGAACTTAGCAATCTCATTAGAGATTTAAAATTGCCGAAGGATTGTGCAGAACACCTAGCATCAGTGTTGAAGAAGAAAAACTTGTTATCAAAAGGCACAACAGCTAGCTTTTATCGAGACAGAGAAAAAGAATTCCGACAATATTTTACAAAAGATGCAAATACGTCGTTGGTATATTGCTCAGATGTTGTCGGACTCAAGAATAAATTAAAAACAAATATATAAAAAGATGAAAATTGAAGACTATTTATTGACTCTTCGAAAAGAAGTTTAAAAGTAGTACTACTACATAATACTAATATTTATGCTCCAATTCCAATAGCGCATTTAACGGAAATGAAAGAAAACTATGAATATATGAAACTAGTTTTGGATAAAATTAGATACCGAGAACACAACTGGCAAATTTGTGGAGATTTTAAGATTTTAAGCATACTACTTGGACAACAATCAGGTTTTACAAAAACACCATGTTTCCTGTGTTTGTGGGACAGTAGAGATCGAGCAAATCACTACATTAAAAAACAATGGCCAAAAAGAAATTCTTTCGAACCAGGTTCAAAAAATATAATAGAAAATCCCCAAATCGACCCTTCAAAGGTGATAATTCCATTCTTACACACGAAACTAGGAGGAATGAAACAATTTGTCAAAGCCTTAGATAAAGAAGGAAACTGTTTTAAATACCTGGAACAAAAGTTTCCAGAAAAATCTGATGCGAAACTAAAAGAAGGGGTTTTTGACGGACCACAAATTCGCAAATTGTTAAAAGATGAGCAATTTATCACCAAGATGAATAAAAAGGAGAAAGCCGCATGGCTTAGTTTCAAAGCAGTTGTCGAAAATTTTCTGGGTAATCACAAGAGTGAAAATTGGGAGCAAATAGTTAGTGATATGATTAAAAATTTTGGTAAGTTAGGATGCTTAATGAGCATAAACATGCATTACTTAGACTCGCATCGGGATCGATTCCCTGAAAATTTGGGAGATTACAGTGAAGAACAAGGAGAACGATTTCATCAAGATCTTAAAGAATTTGAGCGTCGTTATCAAGGAAGATGAGATGTAAATATGATGTCCGACTACTGTTGGATGCTGAAAAGGGATATTGTACCTGGAGGCACCAATTTGAAACGAAAACCATTACACAGATCCTTTGAGGACAAAAGAGTGCGCTACCATAAAAGGACGTGAATACCTTACTTATGTATATAAGAATTTCCATTTCGAGTTTTGAAAATCTAACTTCAGATTCGTAATCAGCGACCCAAAAAACCTCTAGTTACCAAGTTTGAAGTAAATCCATTAACTTTTAAAAAAATCGTCCGCCATATTGAATCCGCTATTTTGAATTTTGAAAATCTAACTTCAAATTCGTCATCAGCGACCCAAAAAACCCCTAGTTACCAAGTTTGAAGTAAATCCATTAACTTTTAAAAAATTCGTCCGCCATATTAGAGCCGCCATTTTGAATTTTGAAAATCTAACTTCAAATTTGTCATCAGCGACCCAAAAACCCCTAGTTACCAAGTTTGAAGTAAATCCATTAATTTAAGAAAAAATAGCCTACCTCTCAAAATCCGACAGATTTTTTAAGGTTAGAAAAAAATCCCGACGTGATGGAGCCAAACGGACTTCGGATTCGTGTTCAGCGCGTCAAAATACATAGGAAATGACTAGTCTGGTCTGCCGCGCACGACACTTTTTTTGTGGGGCTGTGTTATCTTTCTTTTCACAAGCAATGTCATCAAAAACAAAAATTGAATTTGCTTTAGCATCTTTTGGAGATACTACTTCTTCATGTTTACTAAATGGAAAATACTCAACACCATCTACATTTTTTATTACATTTTCCAAAAATGTATATTTCGGTTATTGTAGAGATTTAGAGTAGAGGTAAATATTTTCATAACTTAGACCATTTGGATGTATTATTAGGGAAAGAAGAGCATTTGTTTTACCACAATTTGAGGGGCCACAGAAAACTGCTCGAATGCTGTCTGAAAACAGACTACCGTGACGTTTAATCTTTTTTTCTTTAGTTTCAACATCTATACTAGAGATTGGCAGTGCGACAGGTTGTTTCGTGAACTGCATCTTGACAGTAACTGCCCTAAAAGCTATAAATACCAAGAATTTATATTCGTTTCGTTAGTCTCACACCAACCTCTGTAGAGTGAAGAATGATTCTGCATAAAGAGGTGAAAAAAGAACGCTATCAAGGAAAAGGTTTAATCAATAGTTTACCGTTCGAGTTACATTTGCCAGGTTACCAATTCTGTGGGCCTGGTACAAAGTTAGCAAAGCGTTTGTCTCGAGGTGATCAAGGAATTAATCCATTAGACGCTGCTTGTAAGCAACACGACATTGCATATTCGCAAAATCGAGAAAATATTCAAGCTAGAAAGAAGCAGATAAAATATTAGCTAAGAAAGCGTGGGAACGTGTTACAGCTAAAAATTCTAGTGTGAGTGAACGAGCAGCTGCTTTAGCTATTTCCGGAACCATGAAAACTAAATCTAAATTAGGTATGGGGATGAAAAGAAGGAGAAAATCATCTATAAGAAAGAAAAAAGAAAAACAATATGTAAGAAGAAAAGAATAGCACTAAGGAAAATTGTCGATGCTGCGCGAAAAAGTATGGTTCCCATTAATAATGCTGAAGAATCAATTAGAGCAGCTATGATTGGTGCACGACAAGCAATAAAAAATGTTGGTGGTAAATCTAAAATTTTATCACCTCGAATTCTTCCTGTACCTACTAAAGTAGGTGGAATTCTACCGCTGGTTCCAATTTTTGCTGGACTTAGTGCTTTAGGAGCTCTTGCTGGAGGAGCTTCAGGAATAGCCAACATGCAAGAGTCAAATCAGTCTAAAGTCATCTTACAAGGTGTTAACACCACAGAATCGTCTCTTTCTTCAAGAACTAGGCCTGAAAGTTCAAGGAAAGAAAAAACGAAAACAAGACAATTAATCTACATATTTTGTGGGTGCTGTTGCAACAAAAATGGACGAACTTCTCAATATTCCAGCAGCAGTGAATTTTGATGAGTCTATAGCTCATTATGAAATTCATGCTCATCAACCGTATGCTTCTTCATCTTTTAACAATAGTGATGAAATTCGAATCGCAGTACAACATCAAGACTTGTGCATTTTACCTAGTAAAAGTTCATTACATATTTTTGGCAGATTAGCCAAAAATGATGAAATTACTCCTACGGAAAACGTGCATTTAAGTAATAATGCTGTATGTTTTTTGTTTGATGATATTCGCTATGAACTAAATGGAATTGAAATAGATCGATGCAAAAATGTTGGACATACTACAATTATGAAAAATTATGTCTCGCAAACTCCTACACAGTTAAATTTTATTGAAAATGCTGGGTATTCAAGAATGGCAGCTGATGCAAGACTTGTATTGGAAAATGGCTATTTTGATGTCACTATACCACTCAACATGATTTTTGGTTTTGCTGAAGATTATAAAAAAATCGTTATGAACGCTAAACATGAACTAATTTTAACAAGAGCACGTTCTGACGTGAATGCCGTTATTCAAACAGGACAAGGAGGTGATGAAGAATTTAAAATTTTCATCAATAAACTTGAATGGATGGTTCCATACGTTCTACCTGCAGATAATAATAAAATAAAACTATTAAAATTTATTGAAAAGGATCCATTAATTTCAATAAGTTTCAGATCTTGGGAAATGTATGAATATCCTCTAATTCCTACAAGTTCAAAAGTTTTGTGGCAAATTAAAACATCAACGCAATTAGAGAAACCACGCTATGTTATTGTTGGATTTCAAACAGCGAGAAAAGATAAACGTAAAAAATATGCTTGTCATTTTGATCATTGTAATATTACAAACGTTAAACTCTTTTTAAATTCACAATACTATCCATATGGAAATTTAAATCTAAATTTTGATCAAAATCAGTACTCTCTACTTTATGAAATGTACGCTAATTTTCAATCATCCTATTATGGTAAAGATTCAAAACCTATTTTAACAAAGGATATTTTTAAAAGTCTGTTTCCTCTAATTGTTATTGATTGTTCTAAGCAAAATGAGTTTCTAAAACAAGCGTCAGTTGATGTACGTTTAGAATTTGAAGCAGGAATGAACATGCCGGCTGAAACTACTGCCTATTGCTTAATCATCCATGACCGCGTCATACAATATAAACCAATCAGCGGCGTTGTCAAGAAACTGCTGTAGTGGGGATAATGTAAGGGGGTGATTGGGTATAAAAACAGCTGCTTTCAGTCAGAATTTCAGTTTTATTTCATAATGGAGTTTATTGTAGATGTACAGGGTTTTAAAAAACCCAATAACGAATTTGTCTTCAAAGAGTTGGCGATACTTCCTCTACAGTTAGATGCTCAACCACTCGTCTTCCTGTTCGAACCTCCTTGTGCTTGGAATACATTGCCTGGACGCTACAAAAGTGAAAATCGTTGGTTAACGCATAATGACCATGGAATTGATTGGCCAGCTGGAGATGTTCCATATGATGAACTTCTTTCTCTTCTACAAGAAATACTACGTGGTGCTAGTGCTATCTATGTTAAAGGTTTAGAAAAAAAGAATTGGTTGGAGAAATATTTGTTGAATGTAGAAAATTTAGAAGATTTTAACTGTCCATCTTTGAAAAAACTTGACAATAAATTGTCAACTATTTGTAAACATCATACAATTCACTTTGAAAATTGTGCTGCGAAAAATGTAAAAATTCTTCAAGAATGGTTCCCAGAGCCTTCAAACCGCTATATAAGTGCTGCTGTAAAAGGAATTAATGAAGTTGATTCTACATTTACTACTTTACAATCATTCTATGAAAATTGTGAAACTGTTTTGTAAAACAAGAATTGAATAGTTTAAAAATAAACATGAACAATTTAAAATAATACAACTGTCTCTCTCTCATTATTTTAAAAACCTTTTCTTTGAGTTTTTTTTTAAATTTTTACTATTTCTGAAAATAAAACTTAAAACTAATTCCTGAAAATTAACATGAATAGGGAAGAAAATAATATTAAAACCAATTTATAGATAAATATATATTTTTATTATTAATGTGAAAATTTTATATTTTATAAACATCAATATTTAAAAAAATCAACCATAATTTAATGAAATTTAAATTCCAAAGCGTTGTACGTTCCACCCAAGTACTTCATGTACAACTTGTTTGAACTGGCAGCTTCTTGTATCATCTCCAGGGTATTTGGCTCTTCATCAAACAGTTTCACGAATCTTGCAGGTAAAAAAGTGATAACCTCGTTATCCACTTCTGTCATAATCCTAGATCCAAATCGTGTCTGCACTTTTGCAAGTTTGTTGATCATGTAGCGACCCTTTGGAACCAATTCGGAAACAGGCTTTGTTCGAAGGGTAGCTTCCATGCGTCCAACAGCATTAACTTTTTCTAAATCCATTTTATTTTCTTTTTTTTCTTTTGGTTTACGTAGACAAATCTAAAACAGAAATAATAGAGAAAATACACATTAAAAAAAAAATTCTAAATAATATAGGGGAGACTAGGGTAAACCCGCTCACTTTTTTCAGATCGGCTAAAATCTAGGAAATTATTCTCTAAATCCAAGTTAATTTATATCATTTGAAAGCTTATGATTTCTACTAAAAAAATAAAAAAGAGTTATTGATTTATCTTTTTTAGTTTTACTTAGAGAAACTTTTTAATAAACATATACCAAATTTCGAAATTACAATTTTCCAGGGTAAACCCGCTCACTTTATCTTTTCAAGACGGAACAGTTTTATTTTTTAAATATTAAAGTTCGTCTTATTCCCGTCTTAAGTATGATTTATTATTGATAATTTATGAGTTATATAAACAATTCTATAAACAACAAATTGGTTTAATAAATAATGAACATAGATTTCATGAATTACAACTATGGATTTAAATAGTGTTATATTTTATTAAGAGAAAGTGAAATGTAGTTACAATTTTGGTTTTAATAAGTCATAAATTGTGTTATTGTTAAAATATAATACGTGAAATTATTTTATTCTAAATTTTAAATTTAAAACTAAGTGAGCGGCTTTACCCCGACTTCAGGTGAGCGACTTTACCCCGAGTGTATTCCTCACATTTCAGAATAAATTTAATTAAATCTTTTTAAAATAAGTTAAAACTATATATGTACTTCGATGAAGGACATCCAATAGTAACAAAAAAAATTTGCCAGATAAATTAAGACTCAAAAATAATGATCGAAAAACTTAAAAATCCAAAATACGTTTTTTTTTCTGACACCTCTAAAAACATTTGATCGTCTCTGATTCTATGTTGAATTCATGAAACTAAACGAAAGTTCGTTAATATAAGTTGAATGTTAAGTACTATTCACAGTACCAATATTTCCATCTTAAGTTGAGTTCATAGCGTCAAATCGCTAGTGAGCGGGTTTACCCTGTGCGCGGGTTTACCCCAGTCTCCCCTACTTTAATTCTACAATAACATCTGTAAAAACACCTGAAAAAAAATCTTGGAAAATAAAATAAAAAAAAAATGAAAATAAAATCTATCAGGAAACCTGAAAATAAATCTTTGAAAATAAAAAAAAATGAAAATAAAATCTATAAGGAAACCTGTAAAAATAAGAAAATAAAAATGAAAATAAAATCTGTAAGAGAACCTGTAAAAATAAGAAAAAAAATGAAAAAAAATCTGTAAGGGAACCTGTAAAAATAAGAAAAAAAAATGAAAATAAAATCTGTAAGGAAACCTGTAAAAATAAGAAAAAAAAATGAAAATAAAATCTGTAAGGGAACCTGTAAAGATAAGAAAAAAAAATGAAAATAAAATCTGTAAGGGAACCTGTAAAAATAAGAAAATAAAAGCGTAATAGTAAAGAAAATTTTACTTACGTTTACTTCAGAGACTGCGGAGAGAATGACCCTGCTGGCGAATGGAATCACCGTCTAGCGCCACTATCCCCCACCTTTCTTCTCTTTAATCCCCCCCACTATCCTGCGCACGCAGTTTTAAAATCGCTAATATGCGCGCGCGGTCTCTCGTGAGCGGTTCTACCGAGCACATCGTGTATTTTTAGTGGAGTATAACAGTGCCTACTCTCGCATGTCCACAACGCTGGAAGTTCAAATTTCAACTACCTGAGTGTGTGAATACAAGCCCGTACACATTGTTCGAGCTATAAGCGTCGAGTGCCAGTGGCACGACCATATTTTCGTGACGCGTCTGAGCGTCGCTCCTACCGCCTTGGGCGGCCATTTTTGTTGACAGTATCCTTTTTCCAAATTTATTCTTGTTGAGACCTGTCTTGGCATCAAAGCATAATTGCCGGAGGTTTTGCCTCCGGCACATCAGCCATGAATTCCGAAATTCTGGATAAAACTGACGAATTCCAATCGTTGTCTAACAACATGGAAGTCGAGGTAGCCGCGCGCGAATTATTATTCCTAAAGGGAATAACTGATCCAACAGATTCTCCAAATCCAAAAAGGCACTGCCTTAATAATGGACCTCCGACAGCTCCACCATCAATAGAAAAGATAACAGACCCAAACAGCGGTGCTAGCAATAACAAAACTCCTAACCTCAATCTTAGATACGACAACGATTTAAGAACTCATTGCACGATATTTATTCAACGCGATCCCAAGTCCGCCGATTCCCAAAAAGATCTCGGGCCTATGTCTATAGGTCGCATGCTTCATCCGATGCTCCCTGGTCAAATCGTTGATATCAACCAAAGCGGCCGCGGTAAAGTCAGAGTCGTTGTAAAATCCGGAAAAGCTGCGAATCAGCTTATTAATGACCCCTCGTTGAAAGAAAAAGGTTTAATTGGCATAATTCCTGCAAGTTTTGTTTCGTGTCAAGGCATTATGAATAATGTTGATCTGGACATAACCATGGACGAGATCCTTGAACATGGCGAGGTTGTCGGACCACATGTTCATAAAATCAAAATCGTTCAAGCTAGGCGTTTAGATAGGAAAATCTTTGATGAAAAAACCAAGTCTGTGAAATACATTCCGTCGAAAACCGTTTTACTCACCTTTCAAGGCACTACTCTCCCTCAGAGAGTAGCGGTTTACAAGGGCTCAAGTCCAATTCGTCCATATTATCCGGACCCCAGAATATGCATGAAATGCATGAGTTTCGGACACATTGCGAAACACTGTCGCTCAAATCCAAGATGCAAATCTTGTGGAGAGAGTGTTTCTCATGATGAAGCTAACCCTTGCCCAATGCTAGTTTCTAAAACGCCTAAGTGTGCCAATTGCTCTGGCTCTCATTCTGCCACCTCCAAATCTTGCCCGGAATTCATCCTACAGAAGGAAATAAGAATTTACGCTACTGTACACAGAGTTTCTTTCATGGAAGCCAAATCTATCCTTCGACCAAAAAAATCGACAACAAACACAAACACTTTCAACTTTTTGAATTTCCCGCAATTGGGTGAAACGCCAGCTCCATCGCTCACCTCACAAAACTCGTCTCATCATCGTCGTTTTTCTGAAGTCGTGAATCTTCCTCCTCGACAACAGAGACACTCAATCGCTCCACCTAATAGAGCGTCACAAAATTCAAAACAAACGAGGAAAAGAGCTAGTGAATTTTTTGCAAGCGAATGGAACAATGGAAGAGACAACGACAATCTTCCTAATGGTTTCGCACTCTCATCCCAATTTCGGTCACCTATCACGACACCTGTTCCAACAATTCCAGAATCACTACCTTCGTACTTCATCTCCATGATTAATGAGCAAGTAAATTCTCTTGCTCCTAACTTCTCTCCTGAAACAATCAAACGCAACAAAGACCTTCTTAAAACAATCACAGAGACCCTTCAATCACTGTTCAATATCGAAAATAATGGCCAATTTACCAAACCTTAATATAATGCAATGGAATTGCCGCGGCGTCTTCAACAAGACGCCAGATCTCCAAAAACTCTCACACCAGTTCGACATTCTCTTACTTAGCGAATCCTTCTTAAAACCCCAGAAAAGAGATAATTTAAATACCTTAAAACAATTTAATATAATCAGACAAGATCGTTTAGTAAACAAAGGTGGTGGTCTTGTGATCGCCATCCGCAAAACCCTGACTTTTAAAAGAATTCACACTATTTTTACTGCAGAGGATGAACTTGAGACACTCGCGGTCTCAATCAACTCCTCCATAGGTGAAATATTACTCATATCGATTTATAGAGTCCCCG